GTGTACCGAGCCAGCAAAAGCCAGCAAAATAGTAAATCAAACATGTCCCAAGTCGCTGTTTTTGCCGTGGCTTTCGCGTCATAACTAATTCGAGGTGCAACGTTTTTGCCTCTTCGTCTGTCACCTAGTTAATCTTCGGTATTCCCAGTTTAACACTTTACAAGCAAGAGAGGCATTTATATGTGGAAAAGAAGCGACCTAAGGCCTATCTAATTCAATACTTCTCGCGCGGTATACGACGCAAGCAGATAAAAAACTCTATATTCTGCAGTCATCTGTGTGCAGATTACTCTACAGGTTGCTGCAAGCAATCCATATTAACGCTGAACCGTTCCCATCTATCTCTACTCCTTTGCATACCTTGGTCAGAACTGAAAATATAAGACGAAAGACATCGAAAATAAGCCTTTCTTCTTGTTTGGCGTGAAGATTGGGCAGACTTTCGCGGGCCCCCCTTGTGACATGTGGCCTGCAGGTCCAATCGCTCGTTTCATGAGGCGTCCATCTCTCGGCTGCGCGTAAATCATCGTGTCAAATGGTCAAAAACGTATGTAATATCATTGTTATGACGCCAGAGCATGCGGAACCTGGATATGCATCATTCTTTGGGTTTCGACGGGTGGTCTGTCCGCCAACGCCTCCCAGCCAGGTAAGCGGTACGAGCTGCATGCACCGCTTCTGGAGCTAGAAACCCCACCGTAATGCCCCCTGCTTTTCCAAAAATGCAATATAACTCACCAAGTTGGGGGATTAGGAACGGCAATATGCCCAAGGGGGCGCTCCTACACCACGAGCTCCCGAACAGGCCTGGTTCACTCACTCACCGCAGGTCATCCGTTGAAGTCACACGTTCAAACTAAAACAGCAGCAGTACATGCGAGCTGTGGTGCACGGGCTAGCCTATGGTCTTCCATGTTTGTGTCTTTTGTTGAACTGCAGTTGATTTGCGAACTGCTGGCTGCACTCGGGCGTCCTCTCGGAGATAATGGGAAGCCCCTGTCGCATTCCTCAAGGAATCGAGGCCATCCGGGGACCAATTCCATTGTGTGCCACCACTTCGTTTGCGCCTTCACTATGAGATGCACGGCAATCAACACTGCCAGCTTGTGCTTCCGCCTGTGGCATTTTGCCCTCCGGGGCATACCCGTCTCCTGCGTAGCATATCATAACTCAAGGAACCTTAAGTAGTAAGCTTGGCAACGCACTGCCCACCAAATGCGGGAGGGTGAGTTCAAATGGGGATGGAACGCAGCGCGCAGTCTGTGGGCATGCTAGAGCTCCCACTGGACTTACCTTCGGGGGCTACGATAGCTTTGCTGCTTTCTGGACCCTGTGCCTCCTGTGGCGGAGGAACAACAGCTTCGGGTTCCCCTTGAACCGGTTCAGCTGCACCTCCTGCTGCTGCTGTATATTCTGGTTCTCGATAGCGATCGTTATCGCGGTCTTTAATGATAAGGATCAGCAACAAAAGCGAGAAGAAGAACATCGCTATGGCCAATATGAAATACAAAAAGGAGCCCTGTACGCAACTAACGCAAAAATCGAATGTGATTTCAGTTCGATTTAGGCTTGCTGTTGAACTGAAGGAGCAGTATGCGCAACGCGAAAGATAGTATTAGCTACGGAGCGCCTAGCGTGTTTGTCAAGCGCACAGCCAAGATGCTCTAGTGGAGTTGATGGGAAAATATAGAACCTACAGTGCCCAGGCCGTCGATTGCACCGTAACACAGATGACTCGTTAGTCGGATAAACCTATCCCGCGCAAATTTACAGTTGCTGCCGTTTTTGAGATTCAGCACTTCGTCGTTAATGTAATCGATCTTTTTCTCTGCAACGTTACCTGTTTCACAACAAACATTTCGCAGTCGAAGTAATCTTTAATATATATTTAAACTTAGGAGCCTGAACGTGAGCAAAGAAGTGGAAGGGCAAGTAGGAGTATACCAAATACTCACACGCTGCATCGCGGCTGCCTTCGACCTTCGCTTTCAACTCGTTCACTGAAATCAGCACATTGAGCAATCGCAGAGCAATGGAAAAGCAACACACCAAGCGATGTATCCTTAATGCTGCGATATTTTTGTTTGTCGCAGTGGTCCACGATTGTGTTGAGGCGTCTTAACTGTGGCAAAGCAGGAAGGAACGGTTCCAAGTCTCACCTACGCCAATAACGTCGGTAACTGATCTGTCAAGAGCATTCTGCGGTACAGGCGATTCTCCAACACCTCCCATCAACTCTGGAACCGTACACACCCTTACTGGGGTGCCGCTAAAACTTCGATAGCATGCTGCCGGAGCCACCATGAGCGAAATCTTCTTCTTCAACAGCCGCACCGCCTCCTTTACTTGTGTACAATCGGTCGTGTTCTGAAACGCATCAAGCAGCAGTTACGTGAATCTTCGTTTGCATTTGAGTGGAAGAGCTTGCAGGTCATGTGGCTAGGATAAAGTAAGCGTGCTGTGTACTTGCGATAGGGGAAACGCACCCGTCCCACGGTCCTCGAGCATTCATTGAACCAGGCGTCCAGAACATCGTCTGATGGGGCTTGGCTGGTGACAATCAGCTCCCCCGGACTTGCAGAATGGCTTATTTCAACTTTCCATGGATGGACCAAACTCCTGACAGTTTGCAAACCATAGATGGTGCCGGTTATGTCGTCTACTTGCACTCGAGAATCCGGTTCTTGAATCCCGCTCTGTAGGCATCGACAGTCTCACCTCAACCACATAATGAAAATATTCATCCGGTTAAATTAAACACTCTTAGCATATCACTTGCCAATTAGTCTTCATGAATCTAAGCTTACACTAACGCACGAACGTCTCTTGCCTCTCCAGGCTGTACTGTACTGCACTGTACCGCTACGCATGAACAAAAAGGCGTACATCTTGCACTTGCTTGAACGTGTTGACACTCGAACGATTCCGCAGAACTACTGCCCAAGCTTGCTGCATTGCACTGTTACCAAATTTATCCAGATCTGAATGCCACAACCAGCAAAGGACACCACAGGAGTCCTTTTCTGTCCCACCCCCCAGACCATGGGACGCCTTCATCCAAACCACACACAAATGTGCCTTCGGCAGCAATGTTGTGGGAAAGGGATACCGTACTCTCAAAATTAACAGTGGGTGGATTTGGAATTTTAGCACAAATTTCCTTCTTTGATTCTTCCAGCTTTTCTAAAATAGGGTCGATTCGATTCGTGCCGTCGTCCTCCTGCAGCAAGTCTCCGCTCCCCTTTTCCGATAAACATGTGCTGAGAGCTTGGAAAATTGCACTATCTTCTCCGTACATTTTAGCAAAGGGGTGTTCGCTGTTTAGATCCGTAAATCGTACAGCAGCATAATCGCACGCGGGCAATGCAGCTTTATGTATAAGCGAAACCACCACCACAGTTATGCAAACCACCACAGAGAAGATAGTCATCAGGATTGCCCAAAAACCCAGAATTCTTCTGGCGCACTTATTCGGCACGAAAAGCTGACAGATGAGTGTAACCACAGCCATAACTACCAATGCCCCCGAGACGGCGCTGACGCACAGGAGAGCAAAATCCAACATATCCACGATCCCCTTTGCTGCAACGGAAACGCGGCCAACAGATTCCGCTGTGTCTGACAACATATCTATCAGCTGTTCCGCATCGTCAAACGCGCTCAGATCTGCTGAGGGAAGATCAACTTCCTCTAATGCTTTATTGATAGCAGTGGTGAGATCTATCTTGCCTAGCTCTGTTTCGATAGTCTTCAATGCTGCGAGGAGGGTAATTTCGTGCTTTTCCGCAAAGACATTGAGGTGGTCTGCAGCGCCAGTAACTCTCTTGACCTCTGCTAGGTTGTCTGTTGTATCAGCCTTTGCATCCGTAAAACGGGCTTTTTCATGATCTATGTTTACAAGCTCCAGAATCTCCTCCTTCACTTCGTGAACCATGTTGTTTGGATTCTTTCCATCCGCAGCATCTGCCAGCTTTCTGGCGCGGCCCAGAAGATTCTTCATGCCCTCAAAACCCACAACCTCTCCCTGTACTTCGCTTTCCTGTGAC